GTTCGGGCCTGCGTGGTGGTCGCGGAGGAGAGGCCCAGGATGGCGCTCACGCACTCCTTCTCGAAGCTCTTCAAAGATCTGGGCCTCCACCCACGGTCGGTCAGCACGGCCTTCGGCTGCAGGGTCAACCTGGCCATCTGCCTGCAGGTACTCCGGTAGCTCGGACACACGGCACGTTTCAAGATGGGCTGTGCACAGCAAGCCCAAAACCTCTGTCCATTGTTCTATTTTAAGAAATGTCATCTTTTAAGCACTATTACACACTGACCATATAAAGTCCAACATAAAAATGGCTGAAACTTGGTCATTATTGCAAACACTGAGCTAAAATTTGGTTTGGTAACAGCTGAGCATCATCCCAACACAAGACCTGAACTCTAACAGATCACAGGATCCTTTAAGATTTTTCAAGGCAGTGGGCGATAAGCGTTCCTCCAAGGAATGCTACTTTAACTAGAAAAATTGATTTTCCTGCGAATACGCAGTGTGAATGCTTATTGCAGAAGAACTTGCTAGAAAACTGCTGAAATTAGCTAAAAGAACAATATGCTGAAATGTAGCTGAAAATGTAGAACAACAGCTGGAGAAAGCAGAAAGAACACAAAAGTTGAAATGAGTGCAAAAAATGTGGAATTAGTTGAAACAGCTAATATTAGCATAAAAACAGCTAAACAGTAGCTGAAATAACTGAAACTAGCAGAAATAAGCTGAAAGGAGCATAACAAGTTGAAATTACCAGAAATAATTTAATTAGACTGAAAGTAGCTAAAACTTCCATGAAAAACTTGAATTTAACTGAAAACTGCTTAAATTAGCTAAAATATGCTAAAAAAAAAAAAAACTAGCTGAACAGGGAGAACAAGCTTAAATTAGCAGAAGAAAGCAGAAAGAACACATGTTTGTCCAATTAGGCTGAAAGAAGCAGAAATAAGAACAAAAAGTGTAAATTATCTGAAAAAAGCTGAAATTAGCAAATATCAGTCGAGAAATTGCTAAAAAAAATCAGAAAGAGGCTTAAATTACCATAAGGAAGTTGAGAGAGAACATTTTTGCTGAATTTGGCTAAAAGATGTTGAAATGAGTGCAACAAAAACAGAGATAGCTGAAAAGGCTAAAATTAACATAAAACCAGCTAAATAGTAGCTGAAATAGCAGAAAAAGCTGAAACATGCAGAAATTAGCTGAAAGGAGCAGAAAGAAGTTCAAAGAAGCACAAAAATGTTGTTGTAGCAGAAAGATCCTGAGATTATCACCAAACAGCTGAAAAAACAGCTAAAATTAGCTGAAAGTAGCTGAAAAAGGTTTAAATTGACACAAGGAAGCTGAAATAAGCTGAACCAGAACAAAATGTGAAAGGAAAAGTAAAAGGTTGTAAACAGATCTAAAGATTTTAAGGATGTAAAATGAGCTCAATTAATTTTCTATGAGGAAAAAAAATGTCAGAAAAGGCTAAATATTTCAAAAAGCTAAAGTCATAGCAGCCTTCTCCTAAACGAGCTGAACGTTTTCATTCATGACTTGTTGAAACAGCACAAAAATTGTTGGAACAAGAAAGATGCTGAAAAACGTAGAGAACAAAAATCGATCCCGTTAGAGCGAATGCTTCACAAACATTCACACCGTTGTGTCTTGTTTAGTGTTTTTATTGTTTTAGATGATTCTGTAAATCTTTCAGACTCAGAGCTTTAATGTTTTTAATCAAATGAAAAATGAGCAGATTTAAACTTGACTTGGCCTGACAGCCACAGAAACACCGTTTGAGTTCACATTAGATGTTGAACTCTGGTGAGTCACTCTGTCGGAGCTGAAGAAGTTCTTGTTTTATAAATATTTGACGTGACATTAACATTAATTAATTAACAGTAACATTTTCATCGGACTGATCGGATTCTTCCCGTCTGTGATCCTGTAGATTTGTTGTCTGAGAAACTGGTTGTTCAGATTCAACAGGTGTACTGTTTAAATGTTTCTCTTAATATCCCACAATTCTTGTTTTGTATTTATCATAATTATGCAAACAATAAATAATAATAATAATGAAGAATAAAGGCTCTATTTCACAATCAAGCATGTTCTTCCTTTAGCCCTTGCACTTCTACTTGTTGTGCAAAGAAACAGAAACAAAATGAGCAGTTTGTGATTCTGCTCTGTGATTGGCTGCAGGGAACGTCAGGACCGGACCCGACCACCGTGTACGTGGACATGCGAGCGTTACGCCATGACAGGTACGAGCAGCTGCCGGTCGGCCTGCTCCCTGTTCTTCCTTTGTCTTTGTTGATGAATGTTTGTCTCTGTCAGGGTCCGGTTGGTGGAGAGAGGCTCTCCTCACAGTCTGCCTCTCATGGAGTCTGGAAAGGTGAGAGGCTTTTCATTCATCTCGCCCTCTGTCTTTTTCTCTACGCTTCGTTTCATTTGTAACTTTACATTTAAACCAAACTAGAACGCCTGAACTTATTTACACAACCTGCTTTACCAGAAGCTGACTTTTGATAAAGACATGACAAGCCCAGGATGTCGGCATGAGACGTAAACTTGAATGGCAGCACGTTGTGAGACTATTTCTGCTGCACGTCCTCCCACATCCAGTGAGTCACAACAGGCAGCAGGTCTGAGTCCACGACGAGTCCTTCGTCTCAGTCCAGCTCTATGTGGGAGAATAAAATCAAGTCCAGGAGACGGTTCTCAAGACCGTTCCCTCATCCGTTAGTGACTCACGTCAATTAATACAGCTGGTTATAAAGACCTGTGGGGGAGGAAAAGAGGACAAACTGCTTGTAGAAGAAAGAGTCTATGACGTTAGGTTATTTCTACATCTGATTTACAAAGCAGCTTGTATTCTGGAGGTTGAAGATGAAAAGTTTGATACATTTTCCCTCCATTTTTATAATTAGTGCTGAGTGAAGGAGCAGCTACAGACCCTGCGTTTGGCTGCTTTGCACCTGACCCGTATGGCCCCTCCTGCAGCCGGTGGGCTCACAGGAAGGAACCATGTAGTTCATTCAGGCTGAGGCCCGGTCAGCAGACCACCTGTAGGGTGGGGCCCTGGTCACACCACACCGGGGAAAAGGACATGGAGTTCCTTGTTTGTCCCGTCTGTACCTGTGACTCTCTCAGTGACCTGTCAGCACAGATAATCCAGGCTCACACATGTAAACATTTACATTTATTAAAGAGTTTGAAGACATAAAACAAGGCAAACGATCTCTTCCTCCTCTGTTGACTCCATGACTGAAATGGTAAGAAGTGAAGGAATTTGTCACGAGCGAATTAAACTCAGGTCCAGCGTGGCTGCGGGAGGGTCTGGAGATTTCCTGGTGGGCTGGTCTGATGTGTGGACTGCAGAGCCAGCGCTCCCTGTTTTTTTAATTTTTAGATCTTTTTATTAACAACATATAAACACAGAACACCGCTGCAACTGAGGCTGCCAGCGCTAGTTTTTTTTCCCCGACCTGTCAATCAATCCAGTAGGCGTGTCAGCAAATGACCAATCAGTGACCTCAATTAGTCCCCAAGGTAAACGCCCCTTGTCTGTGAAGCTGCTCTGCAGCTGCTCGGGGTGGACGCTGGAGTCTGAAGTCTGAATCCTCTGCGTACAGTACACGCGTACGTACGCATGAACGGGATTATACTGGGGGCTTTACGATCGGCATAGAATTTTTATTTAAAATAATTTTTTGTATTTTTTTAGCACCTGTGTGCAGCACTCACTGCAGGAGAATCCTCCTCCTGTATGTGTCAGGATCTCCGCTCTGCCACGGAGAAGTGGGCGTGGCCAAGAGCAGCCATGGCAGACAGGAAAACATGACATTCTCTGATCTTTTAGAGTTTAGAAACATTGTTTAGAATATTGCAAGTGTTGGAATGGTTTAAAATGCCTTAATATATATACGTATATATAAATACTAAAATAAACTACTACTTACTACTTATACTACTATTCCTACTTTGTGGTTTTTCACTTATCGCGGGGCTTCAGGGTACGGATCCCCTGCGATAAACGAGGGACTGCTTTATCTTCTGTAGCAACAAACCATTCTTTGATATTTGCTTAAGTCAGGAGGAAGTCATGTTTTTTATTATTTTACCATGCTCTTTTAATTTTAGGCTCACTGCAACGTGAAGTCAAATGTGGAGGTTTCAGTGTTTGTTTTCATCAAGTTAAAACCAAACAGTCTGGCTGTGTGTTTTATTGATGTCGCATTATTTTGAAAAGTGTTTGGCCGTAAGAGACTCAGACTGCAGCGTTTGATTTTCAGATTCTGCCAGGAGTTCGTATCATCATCGCCAACCCGGAGACCAAAGGACCGCTGGGAGACTCACACCTTGGAGAGGTCCACAGACTGAAGCTTCCTCTTTTTGTCTCATTCGTCTTTTATCTCAGTTTTATTTATCTTCCTTTTCTTTTCCCTCTGAGCTGTTCTTTGGTTTGTTTTTGTCCGTTTCCTTCACGTCTAATATGAATTTATAGCTGCACAGAGTTTAAATCTTAATATATTTATCCTCGTGTTTTGGTTGGCTCGTGCAGATCTGGGTCCACAGTGCTCATAACGGCAGCGGATACTACAGCGGATACGGTGAGGAGCTCCTTCAGTCGGACCACTTCAACTCCAGACTTAGTTTTGGAGACACGCAGACGGTTTGGGCCCGGACGGGTTACCTGGGCTTCCTGCGCCGCACTGAGCTCACTGACGCCAACGGAGGTGATTTGTCTTTTTCTCTCTACATCCTAATATATTTTACTGACAGCAGGACTGAACCATGTTTCTGTGCCTGAACAGAGAGACATGACGCTCTGTTTGTGGTCGGAGCGCTGGAGGAGGCCATGGAGCTGCGGGGCATGAGGTACCACCCCATCGACATTGAGACCTCCGTCATCCGTGCACACAAGAGCATCATGGAGTGGTGCGTCTACAGTCGCTACAGTCGACATCATGTTGTCAACACAAATATAAACAACACAGTCTACATTTAGTGTGTAAATATAATAACTGGAATAAATGGTTTAAAAAACTGTCATATTCAGATGAAATATACTTTTCCTACTTTCAGGGTTTGGTTCAGTAATTATTGTCATTCACAGCCTCTCTGCATGTGGGAGAGTAAAACGTGTGAATTAGGCCAGCTTAAATTAATAAATGAATAATCTGAAGTCCTTTAAAAAGCACCTAAAGTCCTAAACAGGTTGTTTTATTCTGCCATGATGGTCATCAGTCCCTCTTGTTTTTTGTACATCTCTTTGCAGTTAGCGTAACATCAGCACACACAGGTGGTTGTTTGGATAATATTGGTGGGTGAAGGCCAGGGTGGGACCACCACATACTATACCATACCATACTATACTATACCATACCATAAAATAACATACCATACCATAAAATACCATACCATACTATGGCATACCATACCATACCATACCATACTATACTATACCATACCATAAAATAACATACCATACCATAAAATACCATACCATACTATGGCATACCATACCATACCATACCATACCATACCATACTATACTATACTATACTATACTATACTATACCATATCACACCATACCATACTATTTACCATACTATACTATACCATACCATACCGTAAAATAACATACCATACCACACCTTGGCATACCATATCATACTACACCACACCATACTATACCATACCATAAAATAACATACTATATACCATATCGTACCATATCATAGCATATCACACCACACCATACTATATACAGTACTATACTATACCATACCACACCATAAAATACCATACCATACATACCATAAAATACCATACTATACCATACCATACAATAAAATACCATGCCATAAAATACAATACCATATCACACCACACCATACCATACTATATACCATACTATACTATACCATACATAGGTGTCGCAACCATTATATGTGAAAGGGACGTGTCCTCTCCACATTAAAAAAAACGTTAATTTGGACCCCCCACTTTTACTATGAAACATTAGTTCAGCGGCGCAGTTTCTCTTTCTTTGTGTATGAATCCATTCCACTTGATTAATAGGAGAATACTCAAGCCACTAAAACTCCACTCCAGGTTTTCCTGGTTACCTCCTCCAATCTGTACTGTTTCTGTGCGTCTCCTCCTGTCTCGGCAGAAAATGCTCACAGGTGGAGGAGATGGAGACACCTCTGTGTTACTTGCTTGCCAGTTTAGCAGCTTAGTGCGGGCAGTTTTTGACCGGGGGTTTGATCATAAACATATATTCATGTTAGGAGAATGCTTGAGAGGAGCGCTACGTGTGTAGCATGTTAGCTTAGCAGTAACGGTGACGCTGTGAGACGCTGCAGGTGTAAGAGACGCTGTGTCTTAAGGTGCATTAAAGTTAAAATGTCTTTAAAACTCACAGCTGAATTTACACAAACTTGGTGAGAAACGTGTTTTAAATGTGTCGAATTAAAGGAAATCTAGATGAGGCTCTGAGGTGCTGAAGAGATGGGTGTTTATTTAACGTTTCTGTTCATGAATTACAGGCCGCACTTATGAAAACTAGTGCTGCTCTGGTCATCTTACTAACCGCCACACACACCGTCACTCATTCACTCCACAACATTCAGTTTACAGCATGTAGCGCCCCCTTCTGCCCGGAGGGTCGCTGTCAGCACACCTTCTCCCCCTCACACAATACACACTTCTTATTGAGCTCCTTATCTCATATAATTGAGGCAGTTCCTGCAACAACTGTATAAAATTTGTTTTATGATGCACCTTTGTTTACTCAGCTGTTTAGAAAGTTAAAATAAAAACATTCTGCTTTATTTCTAAATATGTTTCACGTAAAAGCGTCTTTACACTGAGTTTGTTGAATAAAATGTGTTTTCTTTGCGTTCGTGTCAGTGCGGTGTTCACCTGGACCAACCTGCTGGTGGTGGTGGTGGAGCTGGAGGGCTCTGAGCAGGAAGCCCTGGACCTGGTTCCCATGGTGACCAAGGCAGTGCTGGAGGAGCACTACCTGATTGTGGGCGTCGTCGTGGTGACGGACATTGGCGTCATCCCCATCAACTCGCGTGGCGAGAAGCAGCGAATGCACCTGCGCGACGGCTTCTTACAAGACCAGCTAGACCCCATCTATGTGGCCTACAACATGTAGCCTGAGAGTGTGTGTGTGTGTGACAGAGAGACCGTGTGTGTATGCTGTGCATCTTGCTGTCATCCTTGGTTTCCTCCTGAAAATCAACATGTACTGTATTTCTGAACGTGCGGTGCGCTCTGCAGTTTGTTTTCTTTCACGTCGTGACGGTCGATCGATCCCGCTCTGAAACGCACCGATCGCTCGGTGGCGTTGCGGCTTGTTTTAACCCCTCCCACCGCTCGACCCCGTGACCGTTAGTGAGCCTCGGAGGGACGCTGTGTTCGGGGCGGCAGCTCGTCGCGCCATCTCCGAGAACCAAGAGAGCTCAAATCTGACCCCGTCGACACGTTCTGCTGGCTGAGTGGAGAAATCCCCAATCTGTGATTTTTATTTCAGTTCAGATCTTAGGGGCGTCCAGATTATTGTAAAAATATAAATACTGTACATAGACATAATAATCTATATGGAGAGGAAGCTAGAACACGTCGAGGTGTAGTCGCCCCTTTATGCAGCTCTCTCCTGCACCCCCAGAGTGTGTGTGTTCACCCGTCTTTGTTTCTGAGCGACAGGGACGTCACGTGCTTTGAGATGCAGATTTAATCCTGAGACGATCACAGAATAGCTCGTGTACTTTACAAACAGGAGAACATGCAGCCGCAGTGCAGAGCAGCTGCTCAGTTCCTGCTTCTTCTGATTCAGAACACGTTGTGTGAGTGAGTTTGGCTGTTCTTCAGAACAAAGACAGGTCCTCTGTGGAAGACAGAGCAGATTATAACACACAAATGATAATACTTATAATCATTTACTGAGTTAACTTGTGAAGCTCAGTCCTAAAGCACCCAAAGCACCCCAACAAGCCAAGTGCACTGTGTGAATAAAAATAAATATAATTTAACAAACGTTTAAGAGGAAAATAGTTTAAAATGACAGCGTTCAGATTTTGCTGCAGAAGCTTTACTTTGATCAGAGAAGGTTCGTGCTGTGATCATTCATGTTTCACGTTAAATCCCATGTGATGAACTTCAGAGAAGCTGCTGTGGACAAGGTTTAAACTGCAGCTGGACAGATGTGCAGCTCTGCAGAAGCATCTGGACGCTGCTGACACAAAGAGACGTTTAAAGCTCATATTGTAGCAATAATCCTGCAGAGGACGTTCTTTACTGCGGGGACAGTTTCATGTCCGTGAAGATGCTGTGACGTCGTCGCCTCCACGCTGCGTCTTTAAACGTCCAGAGCTCTGCTGTGCAGCCGCCACATGTTCCAGATGTGCTTGTGTGTTTCACTGCATCAACAACGAAACTAAACCGTCGGGTCACTTCGTTCTTTACATACCAACACCTCCGTGTTTTTAAATCAAACAGCGCTCAGTTTGTTTTAGTCTAATAGATACGTGCACTTTTTTTTTTTTTTTTTTGGTGCACGTATTTGATGTGGGTGTAGAAAGGCAGCAAATGGTTCTTGTTTTGATGATCGGTGTGTTGCTGCGGGCGCAGGTGTGTCTCAGTGGAGGCTCCTGACAGACTCCACCAGCTGAAGAGTCTTCGTGACGTCGCTGAGCAGAGGTCCTCAAAGGTTCAGGGACCCCCCTCAAAGGTTCAGGGACCCCCTCAAAGGTTCAGGGACCCCCTCATAACCTCATGGTTATTAAATAATGCTCTTAAGTTTGTCTCTTTAATGCAATGGAAATATTTATGTAACATAAATGCTTAAGACCTGTTCTTTAATAGTGTTAATGCAATTATTATAATTTAAACATGGAGTATTTTTCATTCAAGAGACACGGAATTAACTACATTTTTAATTTCATCTTCCAAAAATGAGTTTTTTGAAAATTAACAGCGACTTTATTTGTTCGCACAATGAACACAGATGTAATGCCTCTTCTTCAAATTATTACAGAAAACTTTACACAAAACTGAACAGAATCACAACAGCAGTGGTCAGACCAAGTAGCAGGACTTAATCTGTAAACTCATCAAATGCAAAAGGGGGGGGGGGGGGTCCTCCCCTAAAATTTTTTGAATAAAGTATATGTCATTTCCTGCAGTTTTTTTGTATTTAACATTTAACATCTTCATGCTTGTAAAAATATTTGTTTTACTTTATTTTTTTGCGGACCCCCAAGCACCGGTTCGTGGACCCCCATGGGGTCCGGGGACCCCAGTTTGAGAACCGCTGCTCTTAAGAGCCGAGCTGATTCGCCACGAGTCTGAAACGGGGACGAGCATTTTCAACAAAAACACTACAAATTTGTATTTGTAATGATTTTATGCGTATTCACATTTTTACTTTATGATTTAAGGACTCTTGTTTCATGTTTTTGCCTAAAACAACAAACAAACTTGTCCATATGGGTGAGAGTTTACAGATAATGAAACTTAAGCCCCACAAGTCCTGCAGCTATAAAACCCTCCAATGAAAGTTTCATACACAGACGCCTGCTGCTGCTAATTCTGCAAGACAGGCTCTGTAACCCACAAATATTCTGACTTTGATGCTGAGCGCACCACTCACCCTAGTTTCCACTTTGCGATCCTTTCAAAATAAAGTACAATGACAGAAACACATGCTGGGACGCTCGGTTGTTTTTCTGAAACTCCTTGGCACTCTCCGTTCTTAGTCTCAAACTGTCTCATTTTAGTTTCAGAGAGTTGGAAAGTGAGACAACTCGTGAGGATTCAGCAGCTTATTAAACAAAGTTAGAGAAAAATAATAAAGGAATAAATACACTTTGTGGCTAAAATGTAACCAAAAGTTTTACCTGTCATTCTAGGAATGTGGTGCAAATTTACTTATTAATAAAGTTACATACATCACAGTTGTTTGCTAAGTGCAACTAAAGTTTGATTCCAACAGAATAAAATCATATTTTGTTGCATTTTGTGTCCAGCAGTCACAGCGTCAGGACAAGTTTCAGTTTTGACACTAGATGTCACTTTATTCCACACATGCTGCTCCTTTAAAACTCCAAACTTTATTTTTATTAAAAGTTATTATTTGCTGAGGTGGTTTAAATTGTTCAATTGACTAATTTTCAGCCTGTGCAGAAAGTTTTGGTTGTTTTAATCAGATTAGTGATTTTTTTTAGGAGATTTATGTGAAATATTTCTTTACTCACCCAAGAAAGATTACACAAGTTAGATTTTTTATTCGTTTCTTGTCTGAAAGTATAAAAGTGCAGTTTGTCGTGCACAACAATGATAGAGAACTGCTGATGTCACTCTGAATGATTGTGCAGCTCAATTCATCTCATCACCTCCACAACTCCAACGAGCTGAAAGTAAGAAAACTGTTTGGGCTGGTTCTGTCTCTTGCACACGTCCCCAGTAAAGAACGTCCTGCTCTTCGGTAAGACAGCCGTGCACAGACTCACACATTTCCTCCGACATGCGTTCAGCTGACAACAGTTTAAAGACGTGTCTGTCCAGGGAACTGGGGGGGAGCCTGAAACCTGCTGAGGCTGCAAGTGTCGACGCGCTGATGTTTGGAGAAACGTCTCAACTAGGAAATGAGTTGATGTTTGTGTGTTGGTGTCTTCTCACTCTGATTCACACCCTCAAAGGGAAGCAGGAATCTTTATGCACGTCAGAATCTGCTCAGCTTTGGTTTGTAGGTAGCAGCTTCATGTTTCAGGCCCTGACTGTGAAACCAGGAGGACTCGCCTGTGTGTTCAGGCTGAATGGGAGGGAGGCTGCATGGTGTGTGTGTGTGTGTGTTGTATGTAAATAATGTTGATTTTGTATGGTTCAAGTGTGTGTATGTGAGACTTGTTTTGTACACATGATGAAAAGAATAAATGACACTTTTATAAGAGCCTGGTACCGGCTCACCGTCACACTATACAGTGCAATAAAGTGCTTTGATTGGCTAAAACTGAG